GAGGTTTTTTTGGGAATAAATTGGTGGCAGAGAAAGACCCCGTGTGCTGTCGTGGAAACCCTCTAGAAGGGGATTCTCTCTCTGTCGTTACACCCAGCGTTTCCCTCCCAAGGGGACTTCAAATGTCATCCTGACAAGCCTGTCAGGACGTGTATGATGTTAAGTCCATGAGCTGCGAGATGAAGACATCTGTCACTCAGCCTGCAGACGGACCTGGACAAGAAGCCCATCTTCCTCCTGCCCTCCCTATGAAAGATGCTAATCCTAGTGAGTGCAGGAGTGGGGCCCGTAAAACGGGGAATTGGCTTTTTAGAGGAGCAAAGGGAGAAAAAGAGAAGTCCATTCCACCTCCAGCAAGGTTTTCCTGTTACAGCACTACTGAGGATTTGCTCCTGTTGGGTTTGGAGCCGTGATGTGCTGTGTGAGAAACACAGCCTTGGGTTTTTTGGTGTTTTTTTTTTTTTTCAAACAACGTGTCCTTCCAGGTGGCACTTGGCCCAGTAAAGCTGCTGTAGCATTGTAACCGGAGAGTACTGCCATGTCCTGGAAAGAGTCTGCTCCTGTTCTCCCACACGTGTCTTTGGGAAGAACCAAGGACACAGCAGTCCTTAAAAAGAGAGAAGAAAACATTTTCATGCCATTTTCCTGGTTTCGATGTGCTTGTGCTCCCTGATGCTTCCTTGCTCTGAAAACTGCATTGCTGTCCTCTCTGGTGGGAGTTGCCACTCATCACCCAGCTGCTGTGGAGGATGAGCATCACAATGCTGTGATGGAGTGCAAGGTCAAGGCTGCCTGTAAAATGGTCCTGAGGGTGGGTTCACTGCTCCTGGGCAGCAGAGGCACCACTGAGAGCCACCACCTGCAGGCAGGGAATGCCTAGAGATTGTGGCTTGTGCTGGAAGAAACCAACCTTTGGGCAAGCCTCCCAGGAGAGGGTGGATCCAGCTCCATGACTGCCCTGGGCCTCGTGCGTTCAGATGGCTTGAGGGTCTTGCAGATATATGGACAACATGCCAATGGTCCATCAGGGTTTTCACAGCAAAAATCTGGCATCAAGAGGTGCCACCAGGTGGATGTAAGTTGTCTGTATCTCTCCCAGCAGCTCTGGTTACTTCCTTGTCCACCATGTCTGGGGTGAGACACGCTTCTGTCATGCTCTCTTGGTCTTACATGCACTTTTGGGCACACTTTCTCTCGGGCATGGACCCAAAGGATGACTTCTTGTCCCACCAAGGACAGATGCAAATTTGTCCCCCTGGCCCTCAGCCTGAGGCCAGCTCTTGTTGTCTTTCTGCTGTTGTCCTGGCGGGATTCCAGTGTCCTAAGCACAAGGAGTTTGTGTCCAGGCTCCTGCCAGCCCCTCTGTTTTGGGGCTTTTTTGACAATTTCATCAAATAACACTTGTGGGAGTTGAATTATGGCCTGCCAAAGCAGCCCGATTGGGTCTCCACAAAAAAAAGGCCCTACAGAACAGGGCATGTGGGAGGCAGGAGAGATGGGTGAGTCTCAGGAACATCATACCTAGGTCTGCTCCACCATGGGTCAAGGTTTCCAGCACAGAAATAGGTGCTCTTGGCTGGTGGCACGTGTGGAATCAGTATCAGGCACCCCTGCCATGCATTCCCAGGCACGTGGGCACGCTGCATGGGACAGCCCTCTGGCTTTACTAGTGTTGGGTAGCAGCGCGCTCGGTCAGAGAACTCTGGCTGTTCCCTACTCCTTGCAACTCATGGCAATCCCTTGTCCTGGCTTCTCGTGGGGTCTGGAGCCATGAGCAGAGCTGCTGCTGCTCCCACAACATGCCACAGGTGTGCCAAGCCCAGGCAGGTGGAGAGTCGTGTGTTTTGTTATAAAAATTTCAGCTGATGTGCCCAGATATACAAAGTCATGCGTGTGTACGTATGTGAGACCTGGCTCGTGACTCCATAGCCATGGTCCACAACCTGCTTTCCTCCTCCTGACACTACGGTCAGGGCTTTTCCTGGGCTGTGAATCCACTGCCATCTCCCGAGCCATCCACCCCTCCTTTCTCCATCTGCTTCATCCCCTCTACACTTCAATACATAAAGCCCCCACCCCTGTAAAGGTGAGGAGGGTATGGAGCTGGCTGCATCCCTCATCCTGCTCCCTGCCATGCCCTGTCCTTTGGGCTTGCCCAAGGAAGGGTGCACCCAGGTCTGACCGGGGCGGATGAACCAGAAGGGGAATATTCAGAGCGTTTCTGGTAACCTGTAGCCAGCAGAGAGCTGCCAAGGAGGCCACGCTGAAACCCGAAGCGGCTGTTTTTCCCGAGACTCAGCACTTGGCAGGGAGAGCAGACGGACAAGCGGCAGAGAGGGGAGGGATGTGAGCACCTTGGGGGGCAGCACTGCCAGGGAAGGTGCCCAGGGAAGGTGTGCTGGCTTACCTATCTGCCTCTGCGGGTTCATCTCCATGTCTCCTCCTTGTCTGAGATCACGAGGGGAGCTGAGAGGAGGCTGAGATCATTGCTGTCCCTTCTGTCCTTACGTGTGGCTCTTCCCTTGGTCACCCTCTTCGTGCCATGCGCTGAGCATCTCCTTCAACAGGGACAAGCAACGGCTGGTTTTCTCCTTGCCTTGCTCAGAAAGCTCAGGAGATGATCCGAGTGTCCCTCTCGGCTCGGCTGCCACCAGGTTTGGCAGAGCCAGCCCGGCAGCACTCACCTTGCCTGCACCTTTTTTCCTTTATAGCTCAGTGTTATCTCAAGGTCTCCAGCACGGTGCTGTGTTTGCCTTGCCTCGCAGCACCTGCCTGCCAGCCGCTCGCTTCCCACCCATCTCCCTCCCTCCTGGCTGGTGGCAGGGGCCTTGAGTGGGGGGGACATGGGACCCTTGGGCTGGGGGGGACCCCTACTGGGCTGCAAGCCAGCCCAGGGGGGAGCAAGGACAGCAAGGAGCAGGGGAAATTGCCCAGTGCAGGATGGTGGGAGGGATACTTGGCGGCGTTTGTCCCATCAACGTTGCTTCTCCATCCCCATCAGTGGCAGGGCTGGGCATTATATTGAATTAGGGACCAGGGCAGTGTCCCAGCCTGGATCTTTGCTGCTGGGACCGGTGCTGGATGCATGGCTGAGCCGCCGTGCCCTGTCCTGTCCAGCCAGCATCAGCCCCTCCAGCTGCAGGGAGTGCTAAGGCTTCATCCAAAACTGAGATGCTGTTATAAATAGATCAGTCGTGAACTGGTTTTCTCCTCCCTTGGTTCCTGGCCCAAGAGCTCATTCCTCTCTCCGGGCTGGCTTTGAAGCTCTCTGGATGCTGCGAGAGGCAGGCTGCATGCCAGCCTGCCATTGCAGGGAGGCTTGGAGAGCTGCAGGAACGTTATAGGTGGCATAGCTGTCCCCAAAATATTTAGTGGTTACTGAGTGCTTTCTCCCAGAAAAAAAAAATCACTGGAAAAAGAATTTTGTGGGGGAAATGAAGCTGGGAGAGGAGGGGCTGTTTGCTCCTCTGCTTGCACGTGGTGCTCTTGTGAGGGGGCACAGGCATTAGAGCACTCCCGGTCATAAAGTGATGCTCACCTCAGTCTTTTGGCTTCCTAGAAGACTCCTGCCACGCTGCAGCCTCCCTCATCAGGAGCTCCTGATGCCCACGGCGCATCCTGGGCTGGCTGGGCTGCTCGCCCTCCCCGGGAAAAAGGCCATGTCTCCCACTTTGAGACTGGTATTCTGGATCCCAGTTCCTTCTTGTAGCCCTTTTCTGTCCTTCTAATTCTCCAATGTCATTATTCAGGTGTGAACACTGAGTCTGGAGACAATTTTAAGATGCAGCTGTGAAACCTATTATCAGCGTCGCTGCTATCAAATGCATTAGGTTCAGGGCTGCACGTAACCACTGAGCAATTAAATGGCAGCCCTGGTGATGAATTACAACTGAGACCTCCTGGGGCTAAACAAATATCGGCTGATAACTACCGATAAAATGAATTTCCATGTGCTTTTTTTAAAAGCACCCTTCCAGTATCCGTGCCTGGTCATGGCGCTGCGTGTCTCCCGGGGAAAACCGCATGAACTGTGGTATTTCCCGCGCCCCCAGCACCTTGGGTTTCCAAACAGAGCTGGAATAAAAATAAACCAAATAAATCCATGTCCCTGCAGGAGCCAGGCAAGGGCAGAGAAAGGTGTAAGGCAGGACAGAGGTGGGCAGGGTGGGAGGTGAGTGACAAGCTGAGGTTTTGGGTAACTGGTCTAAATATTTTTTTTCCCCCACCTGAAAAACCTGTCAGGTGCAAGAGCGTGCCTTGGAAAAGCCAGCAGGATGGGGAGAGCTGGTGGGAGAGTGGTGGGGTCCCCCGGGGTGATGCCTCCCAGCAAAGAAGGAGAGCAGTGGGCTGGCAGTGCTTCTGCCCAGGGTGGGGCGACTGGTGCAAGCCCATCTCACAGGCACCCTGACACCCCGTGCCCACGGAGGCTGCTGCTCTCTGCTCTCCAAAGGTAGCTTGGAAAAAAGGCAGAGAATCAATTTCTGGAGCTTCTTGGGAAAAGCAGCCTTTGCCAGTGACTTTGAGAGGCTTCTGAGCAGGTTTTCTCCGTGCTGGCGTTTCATCCGGGGGCTTCTCTTCCCAGCACGTTGCGGAGGGGGTGTCGGGAGGGCCGGTGCTCCGCGTCCCCGGGTGCAGCTTTCCCACTCTCCGGCTGGCTGCGGGGAGCAGCCGCACCGCCAGGGAAAAAGCATTTGGCTGAACATCCCATCCGCCTGGTTTGCAAGTGAAAATAAGGCTTGTCCGATGGCCAGCTCCACCCAGAGCAGAAAATCAGACCCTTTGGCAGATGGTCGCTACTGTAATGAAATTTAGCTGTGTGGAGACTGCCAGTCCTGGAATGGGAAGAATCCCACGTGGGTTCAGAGAAGTTTGGGGATGGAACTGTCACAGCTGCTGTTGCTGCTGCCCCAGGGGTTTTTGGCACTGCCTGGGGACACCCACCACAGGCGAGCATGGCCCCACAGCTCAGCACTGATCGCACATCATCTTCTCCCCACAGCAAGTCCCCCCAGCCCCGGAGCCGTGTGGTCTCGCAGAGCCATGATGAAGCTCCTGCCCGTTGCCCCTCTCCTCCTGCTTCTCCTGACAACGCTGGAAGCCAGACCAAAACCTGCAGGTGAGCCCTGGGCAGTGGGAATTGCCTGGAGGAGAGAGAAGGGAATGTGTCAGGGCAGTGAAGCCCTTAGAGAATAGCTTGGTTCTTGAGATGGTGCCTTTTCTTTGGAGGATGGAAGACCCTCCCAGGCATGGGACTCAAACTTCCCAGTGCTGCGCAGGGCAGTGGGAGCCCAAGCCTGGCCTCAACATGGTGGGTCTGGTGTCACTTGCTCCTGGCACATCTTCAGCCTTGGCACAGCCCAGGTCAGGGCTTGTCACCCTCCTGCCCATGGGCCCCAACCATGTGAGGGGGAACCCCCTCCCTCCATGGGTCTCCTGAAGCGGGGGACAAAGCAAACCCAGGGGCACCAGCCTCTCTCCTCCCAGGGCAGAGGGAACTAAATCAACTCCAGTTTGAAAACAGTGAAGGCAATGAACAGAGAAAAGAGCTGGGTATGTCTCGGAGACCTTCGGAGCAGTTGAGATGACAGCCTGGGTCTGGGCATCATCCCAAGGGGACTCAAAAGCGTTTGCTTACCAGCAGGGCCAAATTCTCCCAGGCTTGGGTACGCACAAGCCAAGCAAAATATGTTCGTTGGCATTTTGCTTGCTAAACACTCTCCCGGTTTGCACTGGAAGTTGCACCCATATGTCCAAGAGAGGCTCTTTGGCTCGGTCCCCGCCTGTGCGTGCCCTTAGCTGTGCTCTGCACTGTCTCATTTTCTGCCCTTAAAAAAAAAAAAAAAAAAAGGAAAAAAAAAAAAAGACAGAACAAAGCAATCCCTGGTTTTAGGCAGAAACTGGCAAAATGTAGTAAAACCAGAGGGGGGCTGGAGCTGTGGGGGGAACAGAAGAATTGCCCAGAGCAGGATTTTCTGATGCCACCTGTGCAGCCCAGGGTCTGGAGCGGGAGGTGCAGCTCGTGGAGGGCAGCACGAGGCACTGGACTGTTTCACACTTTAATGCTCTGACTTGCTGCAGAGATGAAGACGCTGCTGCCTAAACCTCTGCCTAAACCTTGCCAGGGCAGATGCCGACAGATGGAGAGGTGTTTCTGCAGCCCCTGGGGCCATTGGCTGTGGAAATACAGGGAGCAGGCACTGGGTCTGGCTGTGGGGACAGTGTTGGGGAGGAGGGGACACTGCCATTTCCCCACAGCCTGTTGTCCCTGCTCCCCCTCTGCCAGCACCCTCCATGGGTTTATTTGGCACTGGGAAGGTGCTTCTCCACGGGGGCTGCCCAGACCTGCCCTCTCCATCCCCCACTGAGCACCCCTCCAGCCACCCAACGGGGATGTCTCCACTCCCAGCCCTGCTCCCCCTCAGGCAGACACAAAGCTGAGCTGTCTTTTTGTCCCCTTCCAGCCCTGAAGTGCAGGACGGGTCCCCTGGACATCGTGTTTGTGATCGACAGCTCCCGCAGCGTGCGCCCCTTCGAGTTCGAGACCATGCGGCGCTTCATGATGGACATCATCGGCAGCCTGGACGTAGGCCCCAACGCCACGCGGGTGGGGGTGATCCAGTACTCCAGCCAGGTGCAGAACATCTTCTCCCTCAAGACCTTCTTCACGCGGGCAGAGATGGAGAAGGCCATCAACAGCATCGTGCCGCTGGCCCAGGGCACCATGACAGGGCTGGCCATCCAGTACGCCATGAATGTGGCCTTCACCACGCAGGAGGGCGCGCGCCCTCTGCACAAGAAGATCCCCCGCATTGCCATCATCGTGACGGATGGGCGGCCCCAGGACCGTGTCACTGAGGTGGCCACCCAGGCCCGCAATGCTGGCATCGAGATCTACGCCGTGGGCATCCAGCGAGCAGACATGAACTCGCTGCGGGCCATGGCCTCGCCGCCGCTGGAGGAGCACGTCTTCCTGGTGGAGTCCTTCGAGCTCATCCAGCAGTTCGGGAAGCAGTTCCAGGACAAGCTCTGCGGTGGGTGAGAGCTGTGGGGTGGCAAGGGTGGCCCTGGTGCATGCTCCTCATCCAGGCAAGAAGATGACCTTCAGAGGGGTATCTGGGGTGTCTGCCCTTGCTAGGAGCAGTGTGGGCAGGGAAGGAACCTCCATGATGGGGTGCTGGCACAGGCAACCTTTTTTCCTTGCTCACCTCTGCTGGGGGTAGATAAGGAAAGCTTTGAAAGCATTGCAAGTGCTTTTCTTCACCCTCTGCCCAGGACATCATGGCAGCAGTGATGGGAATATTAAAGAGCAGGAAACGTGGAGCTGGTTTCCCTGGGTGTGATGGGGACAGATGACACGTCCCAGAGCCTTGTAAACATTTCGACGTGGCTCTAGCAGCTCTAGCAGGGTCTCCTCCTACGTGCAGACACGTGCGTGGCATCCGCTGCACGCACATTTGTGTTTAATAAAGCCCTGGCTGCCTGGAGATGCTCTGGAGCGTCCGGCCGGTCTCGGCAGGGAGCTGGGAGGCTGGTTCACACCATGGTGGTGCTGGCACGGCTCGGGAGCTCATGGGGTGGGACCTGTCTGTCCCCTGTCATCCTGGCCAGCTTTGCCAGAGACCTGGCATGGCAGTGGGCTGGCAAGACCTTGCTCCCCTGCTTCAGCATCTGTCGCGGGGCAGAAGGCAGCTGCCAGCATCTTTCAGGCAGTGTATCCCGGCCAGGGGCACATGCCTGCCTGCAGGGCTGCGTCAGTGCCATGGTGAGTCCCTGCTTGGCAGGGTGGGGGGGTCCAGGGCTGACCAGGTATTGGCCCCCCAAGGCCCTGATGAGCTCCTGATGCCTTTGCTTACAACGCCGTGTCCATCACCTGCCTGCCCTGGGGCCCGCTTCCCGGCTGGCTCCGCAGGCTCCTGGCCACACGGACACAGACACGGCTCCTTCAGCATCTTCTGGCTGAGCTCAAGCTTTCGCTTACTCAGCTCAAGCTATCGACTGTGTCAATTAATATTGAGTGTTAATTTAGTGCTGGGGTAGATCAGAAAGCTGAGGCCGTTCAGAAACCTGCCCTGTGTGGTGTCTGTGCACTGTAAATCAGTGGTGAGCACTGGGGCTGGAAGGACTGGGGTCGTGTGGGTTGTCCCGGTGGGTTGGGCTGCAGGGACAGGACACAGTGCTGGAGCTGAAGTCCCCGCACATCTGACCTGTCCGTGGGCTGCTCTGATGCCCTTTCTGTCTTGCAGGGGTGGACATGTGCATGGAGCAGGAGCACGGCTGCCAGCACAGCTGCGTCAGCACCCCCAGCTCCTTCTACTGCGAGTGCAACCCGGGCTACAGGCTCAACGTGGACGGAAGGACCTGTTCCCGTAAAAACCCTTCCTTTCTCCTGACTCTGACAGAGGGCTTGTAGTTATGGGTCTCACAGAGGGAAGCTGGAGAGCACCCAGCGAGGCCAACAGCAGCCTGAGTGCTCTGTTCACTGGGGATGCTGCCCCCCCCCCGTGGGTCTGTAATGACTGTGGACATTCAACTTTGCTAAATCCTGGTCACCTCTCTGGGATGGGACACTTTGGGCTCACGTGGGCATAGGTGGCTGTCACCTGAGGGAGCTGCAGGCAGTGGGTACCGGATGATGCGTGTCCCTGCCACCAAAGTGCCTGGTGTTTTGCCCTGTATATTGAGTGCAAAGAGGTATTAGTTGGTTCTGGCCACCACCCCGGGGCTTTTCCTTCTTGTCTCAGGGTGCTGGGAGGTTCTGGGAAGCCCTGGAGCAGTCCCTACACGGCTGCCCTGAGTAGACCGGGGCAGGAGGTGACTGGTGTCCTGTCCCCCCGCAGCCATCGATGCCTGTGCAGACGGGAGACACGGCTGCCAGCACCAGTGCGTCAGCGCTCGTGGCTCCTACTCCTGCCGCTGCCGCGCGGGCTACTACCTCAACCAGGACAAGAGGACCTGCTCCAGTAAGTGTCCTTCTCCCCTCCCGCCCCTTCGCTTGCTCCTCCATCTCCCTTTTCTGCCCACCCCTCTCCTTCTCTCACCAGTGATCGATTACTGCAGCTTTGGAAACCACAGCTGCCAGCACGAGTGTGTGAGCATCCCCAACGGGCACTACTGCCGCTGCCGCAGCGGCTTCACGCTGCAGCCCGACGGCCGGTCCTGCAGGGGTACGTCCCAGCGTGGTGGCACGCCAGACACCTTTATGTGTCCCCTGTCCCCAGGGAAAGGTCTCTTCTTGGGCCATCCCCTCTGGACAGGGATAACCCTACACCCTATGTCTTCCAGCCACCGACCTCTGCAACGGGGTGGATCATGGCTGCGAGTTCAAGTGTGTGAGCACGGAGGGCTCCTACCGCTGCGTGTGCCCCGATGGCCAGCAGCTCCAGGCTGATGGCAAGGCATGCAGCAGTGAGTACCGGGACATGGCTCTTGGTGTCCTCCTCCTCTGGGATCTGTGCTCCCGGTGAGGGCTTACCTGAAACTAGGTCCAGGTGGGACTTTGTCGGAGCTGGGTTGGAAGGAGGATGGAGAGCTGGGTGTGCTTGGGAGGGATTTGGGCTTGTGTCCTCAGAGACATGGCCTAGAAAATGTAACAGGAGCTTTGAGGGAAGGTTCAGGAAAAGGAAGACCTAAGAAAGACTTTCAGGGGATGCTGGGGTGGCAGTGGAGGTTTTGGGGCTGAAACCCCTGGGCACTCTTTGCCCCGCTTCCTGGCATCACCCTGGCTGCAGATCCAGGGGGTCCATGTGGTGTCCTGAAGCTCTGCCCTAGCCCTGGTCATCTTCACCCTGACGGTTCCACAGCCAGGCTGGTCCTTTCTCACCTTCCTCCTCTGCCCACAGAGTGCGGGGCCGGGCACGTTGACCTGGTGATGGTGATTGATGGCTCCAAGAGCGTTCGTCCCCAAAACTTTGAGCTGGTGAAGCAGTTTGTGAACCGCATTGTGGACCTGCTGGAGGTGTCCCCCCACGGCACGCGGGTGGGGCTGGTGCAGTACTCCAGCCGCGTCCGCACCGAGTTCCCCCTCAACAAGTACCACAGTGCGGATGAGATCAAGAAAGCGGTGATGGAGGTGGAGTACATGGAGAAAGGCACCATGACGGGCCTTGCCCTCAAGCACATGGTGGAGCACAGCTTCTCTGAGCTGGAAGGTGCCAGGCCTCTCTCCCACAACATCCCCAGAATCGGGCTCGTCTTCACGGACGGTCGCTCCCAGGATGACATCTCCGAATGGGCCAGGAGAGCAAAGGAGTCAGGTGCTTTGGGCTGGGGAACCCCACACTGCAGTGCTTTGGGCATCCCAGGATGGTTCCTTGAGGTGGCTCTGGGGGAGGCTGCAGCATCCAGTCTTGGGTTGCTGCATTGCCAGGGTCCACTGGGGTGGACATGCCTCTGCAGTGGTCCCAGGGTGCTCTGAGCAGCATCCTTCATGGAGCAGTCTGCACCAGGGTAGTGCTGCCACGCTCCTCCCCATCCTTCCCAAATTTCTGCTGTGTATTTGGGAAGCCCAGGGGAAATTCTGCATCCTTGTCTGCCATGGGAAGATCCTGTATCCTCAGCTTTGCTCCCTTGGGGCAGCTCCCTTGGTGCTGCTTGGTGCGGGGTGGCTGGCACAGTGCTCAGGGTCCCTCCTTGCCACGCAGGGATCGTCATGTTTGCCGTGGGTGTTGGCAAGGCCGTAGAAGAGGAGCTGAGAGCGATCGCCTCCGAGCCGGTGGAGCAGCACTTCTCCTACTCGGCTGACTTCACCACCATGACCCACCTCGTGGAGAACTTCAAGCTGAACATCTGCCCAGGTGGGTGCTCCTGGTGACACCGGGGGGCTCAGCCCAGAGCCAGGGGAATCCTCCTCTCCCTGTAGAGCTGGGGGGGGGTGGTTTGTGTATGTGTCACCCTGTCATGTACCCTGGGGTGGAGCTGGGCTGGTGTGAGCCTAAGCTGTCTCTGGACCTCACCAAGCTGTTGTGGGTAGAGAGGTGGGTCTCGGGGAAGGATTTGGAAGAGAAGAAGGTGGAACTGGGGGGTTTAATACAAAAATATTCATTGAGTGGCCACTGCAGTGCCACTGGGTAGAGGCTGGGGTGGTGGAACTGGAGGATTTAATACAAAAATATTCATTGAGTGGCCACCGCAGTGCCACTGGGCAGAGGCTGGGGTCGCACAATGCCTTCAGGGATGCTGCCTTAGCTGTGAAGATGACCTGTCTCCTTGTCTGCTCTGGCACTTCTGCTGCTGCTGGGAGCACCATGGAGGACCATGATGGGTTACTGGGAGGGTCTCCCTGCCCTGGGGCAGGCTGGGGCTCCCCACGTCCCTTGCAACCCCTGCAGGGCTGCAGATGTGGGGCCAGCATGCTCCCTGCCACCCCAGCTTGATGGCAAAGTGAAGCTTGGCACTGGCTGTCCTCGGCAGACTGTGACCATGTGCGCAGCAGCTCCATGGGGTGCCTGGTGGGATGCTTGGCAGCGATTTGCTGGGCCCACAGGGATGCAGGGACAAGGGACTTATACTGTGTGGGAGCAGGGCTGAGCCCGGCATCGCGGGACCGTGGCTCTGACTGCACCCAAACCCCCCCGGTCACAGAGGAAGGCAAAGGGGAGATGGAGATCCGCAGCCCGTGCGAGTGCGAGGCGCTGGTGCAGTTCCAGACGAACACTGTGGCCATCCTGCAGAGCCTGACCGAGAAAAATATCCTTTGAGGTGATGCCTGGGCTTGCCGGGGTGCAGGGCAGCCTGGGGACAGACTGCGCAGAGGGAAGGGAGGGATGGGTAAATGGGAGCGGGGAAAATTTTAGGCTCCTTCAAGGGGAAAAAGCTTTTTGCCCACCAGAACATCTGGCTCCCAGCGTTTCCTTAGCACGTGCACTCGCTCAGATGACAGCCAGACTGGAAGACCTGGAAAAGCAGATGGCCAACAAGAAGTGATCCTTGCAAGGGGCTGCAGCGCTCGGACGGGGCACGGGGACGTACAGTAGCTACGTGGCATTGTTATTGCTAGGTTATTGTAAAGCATCAGTGTTTCTTCTTGTATCACAAAATCCCAGGGGGATGTGGAGTATATTTAAAAAAACAAAAATCCTTTAAAAAAAAAAAACAAAACACAAAAAAGAACTTGAGCAAAAGCTCCTGCTGCGAAGCCAAGGGGTTCAGCCCTCGCTGTTGCCTCGTTCCTCCGAACTGGGAGGACTGGGATGAGGTGGGATGACTGCGTGGGCAGGCTGGGCGTTGGACGAGGAGGCGTGACACCCGGCCTTTTCCCTGGGATGAACCAGCCCTTGCACAGCCCCCCCGGCCCCCAGCGAGCTGCTTTCACACAAAAAAGAACTTGAGCAAAAGCCCCTGCTGCGAAGCCAAGGGGTTCAGCCATCGCTGTCACCTCGTTCCTCCAAACTGGGAGGACTGGGATGAGGTGGGATGACTGCGTGGGCAGGCTGGGCGTTGGATGAGGAGATGTGACACCCAGCCTTTTCCCTGGGATGAACCAGCCCTTGTGCAGCCCCCCCGGCCCCCAGCGAGCTGCTTTCCAAGAGAAAATAAACCTGCAGTGGTCGCACCCTGAGAGCTTCTGCCATCTCAGCACCCTGCTGAGCGGTGGGACAAGGGCAGCTGGGTGCCATGGGCAGTGCCTGGGGATGTGTGCCACCCGGCCAGATCCCAGCGTGGTGCCCAGGTGTGCACCCACCCACGGGAAAGTGGGTGGCAGGAATCGACAGATCCCCCTTGCCCCTCTTTTGGCAGAAATGTTTGGGAATCGGTGAACTTGAGCAAAAGCTCCTGCTGCGAAGCCAAGGGGTTCAGCCCTCGCTGTTGCCTCGTTCCTCCGAACTGGGAGGACTGGGATGAGGTGGGATGACTGCGTGGGCAGGCTGGGCGTTGGACGAGGAGGCGTGACACCCGGCCTTTTCCCTGGGATGAACCAGCCCTTGCACAGCCCCCCCGGCCCCCAGCGAGCTGCTTTCCAAGAGAAAATAAACCTGCAGTGGTCGCACCCTGAGAGCTTCTGCCATCTCAGCACCCTGCTGAGCGGTGGGACAAGGGCAGCTGGGTGCCATGGGCAGTGCCTGGGGATGTGTGCCACCCGGCCAGATCCCAGCGTGGTGCCCAGGTGTGCACCCACCCACGGGAAAGTGGGTGGCAGGAATCGACAGATCCCCCTTGCCCCTCTTTTGGCAGAAATGTTTGGGAATCGGTCATTATCATGTTTGGGGTTTTTTTTTTTATCACATAGCAAAATGGTAATAATTCTATAAATATCTACATGTGTGTATATATATATATATTTCATTTTGAGAACAGGGTAGTGCTATTTTTAAACACTTCTTTTATATAAAAAAATTCTTATCCTGACAATAAACACCCTGAAGGTTTGTATGACAGGTCCCGCTCCTTTCGGCTGGGCTCATGAAGCATCTCTGCGTCATAACAGGGGCTTTTGCAAAGGTCCCCTGTCCTTGGGCTCCGGAATTCCTTTGGGAAAAATCCTTGCTCTGTGGGCACCCCAGGATGCTGCAGACCTGGCCTCGGCTGGAGGGAGCTAGCGTGGCACTGATGCTGTGTCACCATTCCCAGTGCTGCTTTGGAGCCAGTGCTTGTCAGAGGCTCAGCTCCTGCTCTAGAGGGGTGTAAATGTGCCAGGTCAGTGGTGTGGGGCCACCTCCATTCATGGGGGACATGGCCCTGGTGCTGGGATGTGTCTGCTCAGGGCAGGAGAGCTGTCAAGCGTCCTGGCTGGTTGCATGGAGAGGGATGCTGGGGCAGCCGGGGACCACCTCCAGCAGGTACGTAAGGCAGAGGTGGCATTTTAGTCACAGAAGCTCACCTTGATGTAGTCCCCATATCCCACACCCTAGGCAAAGGAGGTCTCCACGTAGTCCTGTCTCCTGCATGCAGGGAGAGGCTGCTGGATAGGGACAATGACAGGTTTTTGGAGGGATCCTTCATGTACCCACCTTGCTTGCTGGTCCAGTACCCTGGAGGTGAAAGCCAAGCAGGACTGAGAGGAGCTGTTGCTTCTGGACTTGTAGCTCTCTACAACTACCTGAAAGGAGGGTGTAGAGAGGCGGGGGGGCGGTCTCTTCTCCCAAGTTACAGATGATAGGACAAGGGGTAATGGGTTCAAGTTGCGCCAGGGTAGGTTTAGACTGGACATTAGGAAACAATTCTTCACAGAGAGAGTGGTAGGGGGTTGGAATAGGCTGCCCAGGGAGGTGGTTGAGTCCCCATCCCTGGCTGTGTTTAAGAACCATTTAGATGTGGTGTTGGGGGATATGGTGTAGGGGAGGACTTTAGAGTAGGGTAGATGGTTGGACTCGATGATCCCGAGGGTCTCTTCCAGCCTAGATGATTCTATGATTCTTCTATTTGTGGGATTTGTGTGCCCAGGGGGCTCACAGGGCTGTGCAGCCCCTGGCTGGTGGGAGGAGGAAAAGGAGGAGGAGGAGGAGGGTTATAGCCCTGGGCTCATATCACCTTGCCACAGATCCCTCTCCCTGGGGACTCGGTGGCTCCAGCACCCACCTTGGCCAATTTGCTTTGCAGAGCCTGGGTGTTTCCATCTCTGTGAATATTGCTGATGGGTTTATAGGGCACTTCCAGGGGTGGCTGCAGGCCACATCTCGCTGGTCCTGTTTCCAGGAGCAGTGTGCTCAATGGGACTTGTGTTCTAAGGCGTGCGAGCTGGGATGTGGAGAGGTTTTGTGTGCTTGAGGCTGGGATTTGGAGCAGGAGGCTGAAGGCAGGTCCTGGGCTGGGGTGTGGGTCTTGCTGGGACTGCTCCCAGAGGAGCTGGGAAGTGCTCAGGTATTCACTTTACGAGGTGAGAAGTAGCTTTTTCCACAGGCAAGCGGTTCCCTGGTTCAGCGTGGGGCTTTGATGGCTTGTGAGCAGGGCTCTTGTCCCAGTTGGCATGGACTGGGGCATTTGTGGCCTCATTATATCTGTTTGCTGGGCCGGCAAATGAAGCGCCGCTGATGAGCACTGTGCGTATCCCAGCTGGCAGCCCCACCGCCCTCCTTGTCAGCCCTGTATCCCACCCATCAGCCCCACATCCCATCAATGCACCCCCTCCCCATCCCTCTTACCCCCACCGCAGCCCTGGAGGGGGTTGTTAGGGAGGTGTTGATGATCACAAGCCACATCCACACCAGATCCTATTGCTACAGATTGCAGTGACCAACAAGCCACAGCAGCGTGCTGCAAGCTCGAAATTGGGGTCTGGGACTTCCCTGCTTTGTATGTGGCTCCCTAAAAAAAAATCACACAGTAACTGCAGGGAAAATTAAAAAAAAAAAAGGGGGGGGGGGGGGGGGAAGAAAAAAGAGAGCAATACCCAGTGGGGCTGTCGTCTAAAAAAAAAAAAAAAAAAAAAAAAAAAGGGGGAGGGGGGGGGTGGAGGGCAGAAAAAAGGAAGCAATTAACCGAGTTTGGGATTTAATAGCAGGCTTGATTAGGGCAGATAACGGCATGGCCTGAGGGCATGATTAAGCCTCAGTTGTCCCCCTGTAATTTTGGCAAATGTTAAGTGATGTTGCAGACAAAGTGGCCCTGGGCCGGCACCACGGTGTGGCCTCTGGGATGGCAAAGCCTCGGTGAGAGAGGGGAGGTGTGGGAGAACAGGGGGTTAACAGGATTGTGGAAGAAGCAGAGACCAGAAGAAGCAGCAGGAACAATGGCAGAAGATGGCCCATGAGCATCTCCAGACCTGTAAACAATGCCTGGGCCCCTGGCTGATGGAGGGGAATTCTGCCCGCCTGGCGGTTGGGGGTTGGAGGCGTGTGTTGGTTGGGAAAGAAGATCCACTGGTACTATATAAGCTGCCTGTTGGTTATAATAAACTATTCTGGTTGTATCACCGGCCAGGGTCCGTGCCTTCATACGCTACAGGGAGGCAGTAGGCACAGGGGTGAGCAGCAGGAGCTGGGCATCAGCTGAGGTGCAATTTTCGGGAAAGCATCCCCAGGCCAGGCTGTGGGATGGCAGCCGGGAGCAGGACCATGTCTGTATGGTGTTGCAGAGCCTCATTAGTGGCTTTTCACTAGATGGCACCAGACACCAGCGCTAATGAGGGTGCGCCAGGCTGGGGGCACCCCCTTCTCCTGGGCACCCTGGGGCCATGGACCAAGCCAGGGGGTGAGCAGAGCATCCTCAGCCCCGAGCTGGGATTCATGGACAGAGCTTGGTGTCAGGCAAAGCATTGCATCACCCCGTGAGGGTGTTATGGTTTGAAGAACCCACAGATACTTACTGTTGTTTAAACAATTATGTTATCGCCCAATGATCCTTCCCCACCCAGGAAGGGGAATGAGGGAAAAAAACCCCAAGGAATCACAAGGGTGGATAGATTTAATAGAATAATACTAAATAATTAACATTAATAATACTAGAGAATCAATATTGATCCCAATACTAATATAAGGTGTACAAAAATTGTCCTCAGCCCATTCTATCAGCAGGAAACTGTGCACTCCCAGCAGGGACAGCAAATGTCAGACACTGTGAGCTCTGTGGCTTAGGGAGGAAGGGAAGGGCTCAGGAGTCTGGCACCAGGGCAAGAAGTTCTCAGGATCACAGCCATCAAGGGAGAGAGAAACTATGCAGCAAACTGTCTAATTTCTATTGAATGTGATGTTCATGGTATGAAAAAATCCAACCTGGGTCAGGTGCCCAGGTCTTGCTCCTCTTCATCCCTGCACCGGGCAAGGCTTAAAAACACTGAGAACTTGAAACCTGCAGGTTGGCCATGGTCAAGCCCTGAGCCAGGGGACCAGGGCTGCTGTCCTCCCTCCTTGCCATCCCCAGGAAATACACACTGGCTGGGAAACTGCTGCATCAGCCTCCTCAGCATCACACAGCTCAGGCCTTGCTGCCTGGGGAGGAGGCTCACAAAGTGCTTTGCATGGAGAGGAGTATGAGCAGTGTGGGATGGGGACAGCTCTGCAGGACTCCAGGGCAATGGGTGCTGCACACATGGCAGTGTAATACAGGGACCATAAGAAGAGCCATAGTCTGGGTTATTCCATGGGATTTTGCACTAGAAGCAGATTTCAGCCTTTTCCCCTATGGTTTTGCTATGGATAAAGCACTACCAAAAGTCCTTCAGAAGGATTTCTTCTTCTGCCTCAGCTTCTCTGCAGCTGCATCCAAGCCTTGCCCCTTGGTGTTTTCTCCTCTCTTGGAGGTGCAGCCCCAAGCACCACCTCAGCCGGATCCCAGCACCATCTGGGAGCACAGCACTGTCCTCTCCAGCCCCCGCAGCAGCTGAACGCCAGAGGATTGCTTAAAAATTAATCCAATGCTTGTATTTCTC